AAATATGATACGATATATATATGTATTTGTATTTTTTCTTCTTCCTTTTCCCAGGAAGAAAATGCTATATGTTCTTGGTGTTGATCAGTCAGTAATCTGCTTTCATTTATTTAAAAATGGGGGAAGGGGCAGCAAACTGCAGCGGTAGATATCCTCTTACTAACTTTACATAGCAGGAAGCTTGTCAGGAACAGAGTTAAGACTTTCCCACCATTAGTATTGACAGGAATTGTATGTCCAAAAGTAAGGCCAGCAAATCCCATATTCTACAAACTGTCTCCATTTCCTCCAGACATACTTTGAGTCCAAGTACCCATAGATACTTTTAACTTGGTTTTCCATTATTTCCAACTTTTGTTGAAGAACGGCATTTTCTAATTACAGTAGAAACTTTTAAGTTCACATCATATTGCACTGCACTATAACAGTTTGTAAATTTACCTCCACTTTTCCCATATTACCTTCCAATTTTAAACCGATGGGGCAAATGCTTGGAGTCTACCTTGATCCTCTCTTTACTGTTTTTAATAGGCTGTAAAATAGTTTAAGATGACCCTCAAAAGGCTTGTCAGGATTCACCTGGTCCTCAGGCTCTGGAATTCTCTAAGTTAGCAAACACACTTACTATGGGAAATAATCAGACATCACCCTCGCTTTCTACTCCAAACTAGAACGATACATTTGACACCAAGAACTGGGGGCAGTAAGAAATTCCACAGAGACTATCATTAAGAACTCTGTCCTGTGTTTTGCTGAGATACCCTCGTAGGTGAAGAACAGGGCCTGAGCTGCCAGCAGACCTGGATTCAAATCCTAGCTCTCTGCTAGCTGGGAGACAGTGAGCAAGATACTTAACTTCTGTGAATCTTGGTTTCCTCATTTGTAGCCACGGGGAAAAACAGAGTTTGGGTTGTGGGGAGGATTAAATGAGATCATGCCTGGCATGCTGCACCTCACGTTCAATGAGTTCTTACTGGCCAAAGAACTTCCAGGTGGGGGCAGAATTACTTGCCCCTCTCTTATTTGACAGCAACCCAATAAAAGACTAGAGCAAGAGCTGTGATAAGTAGCAAAGGCTGGTGGAGGGTGGTGATGAGAGATAAAGAGGAGTATTTTAATCAGCTTTTTTCATTAAGCTGTACAGCTGACCCTTGAACAACATGAGTTGGAACTGCATGTGTCCTCTTATATATGATTTTTTTCAATTAATATTTTGGAAAATTGGATATTTTCAACAATTTGAAAAAATGTTTTATTTCCTCTATAGAGTACTTTATTGTAAGAATACAGTATATAATACATATACATACAAAGTATGTGTTAATCGACTTTTGTTATCAGTAAGGCTTCAGGTCAACAGCAGGCTATTAGTCAAGCTTCTGGGGAGTCAAAAGTTTATGCGCAAAATTTTGGCTGTATCCTGGCACTCTTAACCCCTGTCATTATTCAAGAGTCAACTGTATTTCCCTCTCCCCACTGTAGAGGACAGCCAATAGCATGCTTGCCCAAGTCTGTTCTGAGCGTTTGGGTCCAATTTAGAATCACCTTAAGAACTGTTCCACTCCAAAATCAGGCACCCACTGAAGAAGCAGGAGCCCTGTCCAATGGAATCAAAGCAACGGGGGCACAGGAGCCCTGGCGGCCAGACCAGTGTGCTGGCGGTGTGTCTGTGACCTAAGAAGCAAGCGTCAGCCAGGCACAATTAGTGTGTCTTCTTAACTTTCCTTCTAAAATTATTTGAGGGGACTGTAGTTTTGCCTTGAGCAAAACCCCCTTAACAGCCAGTAATCTAAAAACAAACATTATTTTATTAGGTTACCCCAGAAGATGAAAGCAGAGTGTTCCATTTGGACTTTTTTTGGAGTCAATTAATGCATTAGCTAAAAGCAAACCCTTCTGTAAGAGAGTTCCCATTTTCCTCGGCAGCTTCTAAAGGAAAGCTTGCCACTGTGCTCCCGAGGACACACAGACATCAGGCAGTGAAGGGACAGAGGGAATGAGCTGTAAATCATTAATGTTCACTGATAAGAAAACTATTTTAATCATGTATCTCAGCCGTAAGGTTAACACTAATCTCAAAAGACAGGATATTTAAAAAGTCTTATTTTTAACAATGACCAGGACATTTGAATATCTTACAGTTATGTGACTGTTTCTGACTCAAAATACTACTTAAAACCAACTTTAAATAGCTGTAGTTGCTTTAGTAAAAGATGTATTTATGACTTCTAAAGTAAGTGACCAATACATAAGACTGAAGTTATTTTCAGTAATGGTTTTAACTCCAACAGCAGAATAGACATATAAAGCAGGAAAATGATTGAGATTGCTCATTGGAAGAAATATTCATATTTCTCAAAAATCCACCCACCCATCCTTCAAAATAATATCCAACTAATGACTAAGTTCCAGGCACCGCAGAATTAGCATCAGAGACATGGTCCCTACCCTCATGGAGCCCATTCTGGGCTTATAAAGTGAGGACTGCCAGTTTTAAAAGATAGAGGAGGCAATGCTGTGAGCTGCCTCTGACTTGAAAATGAAGCAGTGAACCCCCTGTGGTCTTCACAACACCAACTCTTGGGCGCGGTTGGGTTATTCCCAAAGGTAAAGCAAAAGGCTCACGCACACCCTCTGGCGGGCAGCACCGTTTCTGGAAAGAACATCTCAGGGCTCTTAGCAGGGAACATATCTCTTGAAAATTTTTTGAAAAATCCACATCCTGAAAGCATTTGATTACTCTGAATTAAAAATGGGATTTTGCTCAGTGGCAAATATACAAATTCATCCCCACAAGTATGGCCTTTGCGGTAAAGGCCCATGATGACTTTCAGACTAAGAGGGTTTGTCTAGAAGGTTGATAAATGGGGCCACAAGACAGCATTCATTAAATTCCATCATTAGCGATTTCCCTCCCTCGATCTGAAGAATTTCGATGTGACTCGCTGAATACCTAACCAGAGGAGGTCACAAACAGTTTAAAGCACAATTTGTTCCCGTTTTTATTCCCTGCTCACTGAGTTAATGTGCAGTTAAATATTTCCAGAAGATTGTCAATATGTAAGCATCCTGAGGTTTACATAGGCCACACCATTAAATAACATATAAGCACAAAATTTTAAACATTGTTTTCCAGCAATGGTAAATATTTTAGCTAAGTGAAAACTGAAGCTTGAAATGCAATAAGCACTTAAATGACTCCTTTCTGTGCCAGAATTCTTATTTTCCCCTGTGCAACCCTGGCTGCTGGGATTAAGGCGACCCCAGGGAGCTCAGCAAATGGTTGCGGGTTATGAGGTGTAGCATGAGCTTGGCGACAGCATGCCACCCAGCCTCAAGAAACCCAGCCAGGACTGGAACCCAAGAATCAGTGTGTTCACTTTGAGGTCAGCTTCACATTTTTTCCCCTCCTTGAAAAAAAAAGCTGCTACAAAAATCAGGCCTCTCCCCCACCTCCCAAGCAATCACAAGGTAGACTCAGGGCAAAACTGACTCAGGGGGGCTGGCGGGCAGGGACAGGCTGGCCCCCTTGGGGGTGGGCAGGCAGCGTGTGGGGTCATACATCTTTCAGATCCTCAGCGTTAAGGGGGAAATGGCCGGTGCACGAACAGCAGCCACAGCGCTGCCAACGTATTGTGCTGTCACTTCAGGAACAAGGAAAACCCGGGGCAAATCTGACATGGTTTTCACCACATGTTGATCGCAGTCCTATTCAAGGATGTCACAGTTACGCCACCCACTGAGCGGAACTCAGATGGAAATTAGGCCTCCACAGTGTCTCAAGTCACTGCCTATCCCTCAGTAAAATAAGTCCAGGATTTTAAAGCAACATAGTCCTGTGGCCCTATGAGGTGTAGCAGGAGCTTTAGCTACTGGGCACCTCTGGGTTCTCATTTACGAAAGAGAATCATCCTTAGCCAAAGACAAGTCTAAGTGAAGCCAAGACCCTCCTCACCAAGTGCAACAGCTTTTAAAGAAGCAGGCAGGGCAATGATCCATTTCTGAGACATTGGTCAGTGTTAATAACATGAAAATTTGATCTTCTATAAAATTTCAAGCAAGTGAAGAAAAGGAACAGAGAAATTTATAGTCAGGGACTTTCCTCCATGTTCAATATGCCAAAGCTTGAATACTTTGTTTTGGTACCACCACCCAAATCTCTAAGACATATTTGGAATTTTGTGACTGGTCTTTGAGATCAAAATATGAAAATTTATCACTTCTCACATTGAGAGGGGTTGGAAGTCAGAAAAGATAGAGGGAGGCGTTTTCTCTTTGGTTTTGCCAAACTCAAACCTTGAAGGGAGCAACATATGTATTTGTCCTGTTTCTGGTAAGGATAACAGAGCTTTTGCTCACTTAAAAAAAAATTAGATTACACGCATGGGGTTGACTCTTTCCAACTTTGAATGTCAACCTGTTGACCTACAAGCAAGACAGAGACTGAAAAATGGAAGGGGACCTTTATGGAAGGAAATTTCAGAGACTCAGGAAGTTCAAACTGATTCTGATGCCTCTTTAGGAGCATGACTATAGTCTAAGAACTCCAAATTCTGTTCAAGACAGCTTCTTTCCCCAAATCATCATAATGCTGGTCAAATGTTATCAGATGTCAGATACATGGGATATGGTTTTGGCATGAGGCAGAGCCAGAGAAAAAAATAGAGTTGCCATTTCATGGCAGTGGACCAGTGTTCATGCCCAACTGAAACTTTGTATTACTTTCTCTCTCACTATAAAGAATTGCCCAGAGTGCGGAGGATGAAGAGAACAAACATATCCGCTTGCTAGGTTCCTGGCTTATCTAGGGCTAAATGTAGTTTCTCTTACCCTGAACATGGTGCACTGAAAATGAGGGTACACATTACCTTGGAAGACCACGAGACTATATCAATGCCAGTAGGAATAAAATCATCCTGCAATTGAAAACATACAGAGCCCAACAATGACAAGTATTATTGTCATTCACCATGGAACATACACAAGAGCAAACAATTCCATACCTTTAAAAATAGTTTATTTCCTTCTTCACAGACACATGAGCCGTCTGACCATTATTACACAAGACACCACATATTAAATGAAAACTGGTATTAGAATATATTTGTCTTACATGATTAAGTGGATTTTTAAAGGCAAGTGGGTGCCAATTATGGGAGACCGGAGGGGATTAAGGTAGGTACCAGTAACGGGGGGCATGCATTTTTCCACAGTGTTTATTGAGACAGGCAGTAACCAGCACATGTGCATCATATGAGCAGGTATCCAAAAGTAGCACTTCCAGGAGAGGTCTGTATCTCATGGTTTCTCTGTCTGTAGAATAAAATGCCAAAGGATTTCCCTCAAGTACAAAGACTTCTCTCTCGTAGTCTTGCTAACAGTAAAAGACTATGATTATTAAACATCTTCAATGTGGTTTTCATTACAAAAAAAGATGTTTCACATAAAAGCTTCATAATATAATCCAGAGACAGAATTAGTGCATGTTTAAAATCTGAAGCCAGGCTGGCTATTTCGGATAATGTTTTCCTTTCTTCCAGTGTTTCTTCTTATAAACATGCCCTCAGTTTCCTACCAGTTTAAACATTCCTGCAACATTTTGCTCTGAGCATCACGGCTGCCTTTCAGTAATCTCTCTGGAACTATAACCCTAATCTCAAGGAGAATCGCTCTAATTTCTATTCAGACTTGCTCCTTCCCCCAAATCTTGTTTATGTTGACCATCCCAGTAAATATCAGATACAAAGGTCTGTGAACATAGGCCCAAAGAATAATTATGAATTATTTCACAATGATCTTGTTAAAAAAACACACAGAAAATGAATGATTTCACCTTATGAAAAAGCCTTGATTTGAATTTATAGAAGAGATGGAAGTGAGAGGACTGAAGAACTGCTTTTGTTCGAGGTGGGGTGTTCTTTGCCGCAGTCACAGCAAAGCCACAGCGATGTCTGGGGCTGGTCCTCCTATCGGCCCCCACTGATGACCGCTGCCATGGAGGATGGCGGCTTGAAGAGAGGTAGGTAGAGTCCAAATTTGTTTTCAATCCCTGCAAATGTTGCAACTGCCAGTCTGTAGCCCCCGACGTGATCAGGATTGGGGGCAGGCAGTGTGATCCTGGATTTAGGAATTGGCTCTGATCCCATGGGTTTCCTAAGGAAGGAGAAAACAGAATCTGCGTTTTTATTTTTTTTAACTTGGTAAAACAGCATTCAAAGTGTTCAAATCTGGATCATGGTGAAGAGCTGTGTCTAATTCGAGTTAGCTGCACGTTCTCCTTTGAAATGAGTTTAGTAGCATGATTTCAGTGTTTTTCCTACATCTTTCGCGGTTCATCACAGGGACTATATGTTGTACCTTTCTCAGTGATGACTGAGTATCAGCTGACATTTGGTGGCAGATTTACCATGATACTTACACTCCCCCAAAATCAATGTAGAACCATTGCTGTAATAATTCATACGTCAGCAAAGTCACACCAAACTGGGGTGAGGATCGAAACACACGAGCTTTGAAAAAAATAGGGAAATGACAGATAGAATTAGATTTTTTTATTTTTTACCTGATACCAATGGCTTAGTCAAGAACAAACTATTTCCATACCAGCCGCTCCTTTCCACAAAGCTTTTGGTCCTTCTTCCCGCAGGATCTTCCTAAAGCAGTCTATCACTCCGCTGTAAGTGGTCTGGCCGGCCCGGGCGGCCACCTGCAACCGCGTCTTGATAACATCAGCAGGGGTCACTAAGGATGCCGCGGGCATACCTGCAGCAAACACAACGCGTCGCAGTCTGTTCACATTCTCACTATATAAAAATAACTGTGCTTTCAACTGATGGCTGTGGAAAGAAAGTGAAGCATCTGATGAAATCAAAGGCCTCTTTCACTGTCCTCTCCGGGGAGCCCCGCCACAACTATCTCGTGTGCAGCGAAGGAGGCTAGACATACCCACACACACTCACCGCCCCTTCTCCAAGTTATCCGCCTACATCTGTTACATTTATATTCTTAGCTGGTACTGAGGAATTATTTATCAATGACACTACTTTAAGTGGTGAGTGGTTCAGAACCAATGGAGAAGGTCTTTTTTTTTTTTTTTTGCTTTCCCACTGAAATCAGAAACGCGAAAAGTTATTTGGTTCGATTTTTCAGAGGTGAAGCTTATTATGCGTTTCCTCTTCGTGCTTTTCTGTGACTGCTGGCAGGCACAGGAGGTGCCTCCTCTCACACTTTCGACCACCTGATCCTCCAAACCCGGACTTTCCAGTTACACCAGAGAAAGACCTGACTGAGTGCTGACCAAGCATTCTGTGAGTGCGTGTGTGCGTGCGTGTGTGTGCTGGGGGTGGCGGTGGGGGTGGCCAGCTGAGGAGGCTCCCACAGGTAACACTGTAGGGCTCCTTTCTCCTATGACTGACATCTCCAGAGAAAATGTTTGACAGAAAGCTTGAAATTTATACTGGCTGATAATCAATAAAAAAGAACAACAACAAAACCCTCCCAGAATTACCAATGGGAAATTTTTCTACAGTCATTTTATCCAAAATGGGGCAGTCCATGTTTAGATTTTTTAAAAGCGAGACTGTGCTCAGAAGACACTGTCTCTTATGGTTTTATTACTTTTCCATTATGAACCTATTCCAAACCAAATTGGTCAAATGCAGATGCATAAATCTCCTTTGCTTTTTTTAAGGCTTAATAATTCTGTAAGAATTTCTGTCCAAACCAACGTGGTCTGGCTCACAACTACATCGCATCCTTCTAACAGACAGCTTTAAAGTTACACTGTGTGCGTGTGTGTCTGGGAAAATCTGCATAGTACGCGTTTGGATTTATAGTCCTAAGATGTGTCTCTTCCTCTTCCATCTCTACTGAGCTCCTAAACATTCATCTTAAGTAACCATTTTTGTACAATGCATCACATTTTTGCATGTGAAAAAGCTCACTTTATATCCACTGTTTCACTGGATAAATCACCCTGGATTTCCTATTAGCCTGGAGGAATTGTTTTAACCGCGCCAGGAATTTATTCTCCAACATAATGGAAGGAAACAAGAAAAATGCTTAGAAACCCACTGTGTTCACACCACCAATTTCATTTTACTTCCTGGTTTAGAAAAAGGTCGGCAAGGCTGTCTGGTTTTAGATACGCAGTAAAATCCTCCTTACAGCAGTGAGCAGGCATGTCAGAGTGTGAATGTGAATGACACAAGCAGTAAAATGGGCAGAAAGTCTACTTGTTTTCATAAATAGTTCCTGGTTACAGAAAAAAAGGGAAGTATTGGGGGGTAGGCAGGGAAGAATGACAGTGATTAGTGAAATAAAAACACGAAAGGAATGAGTGAAGGTGTTTAGTAAGTTGCCTGGCAAAACTCTTTGGTGTGTTTGTGCATGTGTATGTGTGTGTGGCAGGGGCTGGCAGTAAGTAGGGGAGGCTGCACAGGACCTTCATCCTCTCCAGCCCCAGCTCCCATCCTTCCTGGGTGGATAGTGGCAAGGGCCTAGGAGGAAATGTGGGTGTCTCTGCGGACAGGGGATTTCTGGTGCAGAGATTTACTAAATCAACCCGGACAACTGCAGCAGGCCACTCCACACCAAGGCCGGGAAAGCAGGCTCTACCAGGAAGAGCTTGGCCACCGGAGAGGTGCTGTTTTTCAGACCAGGGTTGTCAAAGACTGAGCGAACTTGCTTGGTCTCCCCCAAGTTTCCAAAAAGCGAAGGGAACACTGATTAAGAAGTCAGGTTATGCTTCAGTGATAAGACAAATGACGAGGCCTTGAGGGCACCACTTCCTCTGTGGCAGGAACAACTTCAAGTGCTCTCCAGCCAATAAAAAATTGTAATAACAAAAAATAAATTTAAGGGGGCCCAGAGTAGAAATTCATTTACAACACAGAGAAAGCATGACTTGCAAAATATAATTTTAGGGTGAGTCATCCTTGATTTTCTTAAATATCCCACTATATTTAGTATTTGTAAAGAAGGTGCTTCTTTCTCTGGGGATAAAAAGTTAGTATCTCTTTATTTGGGATCAAGCTTTAGAGTTTTACAAATCCCTTTGCATCTTTACCTGTATTATTTAGTTGATGGATCAGCTCCTAAGAGAAGTATAAAGATCCTCACTTGTAATGAGAAAATACCATGTTCTTGTCAGACTTTTAGATTTAGGTTTTATAAGGCAATATTATATTGATGATACATGGACGATGATGCCAATAGGCTGTGAAAGGATTTCAAGCTAAAATAGAACAGGAGGATATGAAGTAGAGATTCTCACACAAGCACCCTCAGAAGAATGGAACTGCAGAACTGAGAAACTGATTCCCCATGTATGTCTCGCTTACACAAGGCAGAGACTTACCTCCTGACCAAAGAACTTCCCACAAAAATCTCTCCTCATCCTCAAGCCAGTGAACTTGCTGCCTGGACTCTGGCTGTGCTTCCTTCTCTTTGCACCCCTTGCCGATAAATACAGTCTGTCCCAAAACCTCACTGGACCCACCTGTAGCTTAGGACAGCATGTGTTTCCCTATACTGCAATTCCTCTAATAAACTCGGTATCTGGTAATTTGAGATGACCTCTTTACCTCTTTATTTATTTGATGATACTTAGTGAATTTTATTTTTTACAAGTGTAAAACATGCCACTCTGCTTCCAAAAGCCACTTTCAAACCCTGAATTTCACTTGGCCTGCCAGTAATCTTGCTGGATGTGCTTACTGTTGGTAATTGCCTCGTACATATTCTTCAGTCTAGTTTCTTTTTTGATTTTCCCTTGTTACTGTTTTCACAAACCTCAGGTAGTTTCACACCTCATCTAATAGGACTGGTTTTTATCAGAGGCATTGAATCCATTCAATTGTGGTTATCAGACTGATTTCTGCAATCCTATATTACGGTTTTCATTTTCTCTGCTTCTAGTTGTTTCCCTTTTGATCTCTACCTTTTTGACTGATTTACTTAAATACTGTGCATTTGTAATATAAGTATAATACTTAAAGTGCATATAATTAATGAGCATTTACATCCTTCACAAGTGAGGTGAGGACTTCCACACACTTTGACTTTTGTTCTTTAACTGTCTTCCAACAACTGTTCTTGTATAAAAATACACATACTGAAGTCAGCAGTTATTTAGACCTACTCTTAACTTTTACTGGCTTGGTTTTGTATATACCAAATTTTCTTCTTTCTTAAACTCACTTCAGAGAAGTCTGTAAGGCGTAGCCTTTGAGTTCTGCCACAGGAGAAGTGAACTTAGATTTGCCCTACCTCTACCGCCTATGCCTGGGAATGCAACCCAAGGTCAAGACATCTTCTCCTTGACATTTTGAAGGTCATCTAATATTTCAGATGAGAAGTCAACTCCTATTTCTGATTTGTTTTCTGTCCTTCTTTCCTTATTACTTCTCCCCAGGGATCCCCTATTAAACAGATGTTAGACCTCCTGGATTCATCCCGACCAAGTCTCCTAAACTTTCTCTCATTTTTCAACTCTGTATTTTTGCTCTATATTGTAGAGTTGTTTTTTCTTTGCATGACTTTATTTTCCAGATGTCTAATTTGGGCTTTGATCATATCCATTCCATCACTGAGACCATTCATGGATTTTTAATTTTGGCAATCCTTTTATTAATTTTCAAGAAAGCTTCCTTACTGATTATTCCTTTATTTCTGAGGACCCTAATTATAGTTCTTAAAAGCTCTCTTCTGTTCCCTAAATTACTTGTTTTCTCTGTAATTCTTCTGTTTACTTACCTTGTTGTTCCTTCTTGTCTGAGGACCTCTGGCTGTCTATTGATATTCAAGTTCAAAGGCTAGACTGATTAGTGTTATGCAGAGCTTGACCTTAGCCTGAGTCAGTTCTCCTAAACGGGAGGATCATCTATGGGCTTTGTGAATGGGGGGAATGCCTGTTAACTGGGTGCAAGGGGCTAAGGTGGGGGAACCATCCAAGTCATTGATACATGGAGAGCTTCACCCTGGAAGCAGAATAAATTATTTTATACTCTTCCTGGGAAGAGCTGCCATTAGTTTATTTTCTGCACCTGTGGTTATCTCAATTATGTCTTGCCCTGCTTTCTTATAGTTCTGTTAAGGGCAAGTGGTCCCTTTCTTTAGATTACAGCTCTCAGCTTTAGCTTGGATTCAAGTGTTGCCTGAAGCTCCACATAAAAAAGAGGAAAGAGAACCAAGCCCACCTTTCAGTCAGGAATGCAGTTCTTTAACTCTTAATGATTTACCCTAACCACGCCCCCCTCCCCCATGCCCCAGGCATTCTATTGTTCACTCAGATTAAAATTCTCTGGTTCTGCTCTTACACTGAGAGGAGTTTTTCCTGCAAGTGCTCTGGACTGTGCACCTTTCCGTTCAGTTTCAGAGTCAATCTGGTTCTGTTTCCTGCCTTCTGAGGGCTGGGGCTAATATTTTCTAGTACTGAAGAGGTGTTTTTAAGATGTATCTTCTGACATTTTAAGGTATCTGGGAGCAGAGGTGAGATGCATGGATATGCTTCATTTATGACTTTGAGTCAAAGTCATTACTTTTTTTAAAGGATCTAAGAATTGCTGTTAAATTATCTTAAGATTTATGTCCACATATGTAATTAATTCCTTGTTTCAATAGTACTTCTCTAGTAATTTAATTCTAATATGTTTGCGAAAACATCATGATAGTCACAAACATATAACACTTCCATATCTGTGTATTCAACAGCTTTTAAAGAGTATTTCTGAATTACAACTTAGTCTAAACTAATTAATTCAAAGACAAGATGACTTTTACTACTAGTCTGACTTGTTCCTGTATCTCATCAGTCTGATAATTAAAATCCCCTGGTATCTTAGAGCACTCTATAAAATTTGAGAAGTACTGCATGTCCTTTACTTGATATTATCCATAAAATCCATAACGAAAATGCCTTTCATTACTCTAAAAGCAGCATGTTCATTACAGGGAATTAGAACTTGCCTTCTCAATTTCAAGCTCCCCTTAGCTCTCGTCTTCTGACATACTGAGGTACCTTGGCTGCTAAACACAAATTCAAGCATCAGTCTTACTCTGCCCTGTGAAATAATGGAGTAGATTCCCCAGTATTTAAAGATATTCCCAGTTTATAACTAGACACATAAACCTAAAAAAAACTTAAATATTCTATAGGCTCTGAGGTACCAACAACCACCCTCTGTTAAACTATTACTAAAGCAATTTAACTTCAAGTTGAATCAAATATTTGGAAAAAAGTAAGACTGTACTTACTGAATAACTGAAATAACCATCAAAACACAGAAAGCATGATCCATCTTAGTCCCAGGCCCATCTTATTTATAATTGTTCAGCAAAAATATATGAATTCTGAATAGGAGGTCAATTTAAATATAAAATATAAAAATTATACGTATATAATAACATACTTTTTATGTACAAAAACATTTTCTATAAGATAAAATTTATAAAAATAGTCATGTGACATTTCTGTTTTATAATAAGTAAGTCAGTGGTCAACTACTATTTATACAGCTTATTTTGAGATAAGCTTTCCTCCTTTCCCCTAATGACAGCAAAGATGACTTTGGCCCTGGGATACCCTTCCTGGGATTCCACACACACTCCATCAGTGTCCCCTCTCCCGAGGAAATGCCTTTGGTTTCACTGGTATCCACAAAAAAGAATGTAGGGTCCTCATCTGTCTTTTACCCACCAGCCATGCAGATGTGCATTTTGGGCTTGCTGCCCTTTTTGACGAGGCTGCTCTGGGCACCGTCTGGACCAAGTCTTCCTGCTCTGCAACACTGAATTCAGTGCTCTGGTGGAGCACGCCAGCAAGGTTCTGCACTGTGCAGCTGGGCACACTGCCCCCTCCTATGATGTCTGTTAACTGCTTATCACTGCATATAGATTTTTCTGTTCTTCCTATAGCCAAATACACTACTAATCTTTCTTATTCATTATGATAGACTTTTAGGAATTTTTATTTGGATTTGCAGTTGAACGATCATTTGCAAATAATGGTTAAGCTTCATTTCCTCTTTTCTAATATTTATGTCTCACTTCTTTTTCTTATTTTGCGACATTGATTGGAACCTCCAAAATAAGGGTGAAAAAATAAGGATCATAGAGACATCCTTATCTTCTCCCTAACTTTAATGAGAATGGCAGTTGTGACATTTGCCACTGGCTACTGGTATCTCTTATTAATAAAGTAGCTTATTTCTCATTCAGTTTATACAGATTTGTGGAACACAAAAGACTGTCAATCTTTGTAGCTGATCTGTTCTTTGAAGGAAAAAAACAGTGAAAGTCTGTCCTCTATTTCTCCATCCTACAAGGGGAAGATGGACAATAAAATGAAAATAAGTGTTCTTTCTATAGTAAGTGTGGCAGCTAACTCCCAAATGGCCCTCAATGATGTTCACCTCTTGGGAGTCACACCTCTGCCTCTGTATCCTTTCCTTGCACATTGCATAGGGCTCATCATGTAACCAATAGGACAGTGTAGAAATGAAGGACTGTGGCTTCCAAGGATGGTCATAAAAGACATCATAGCTTTTGCTTTGGTTTCTCCCCCCCTTCCTCCACCTCTGTGCCTCCCTGATCTTGCTGCTGTGTCAGCTGCCATGTCATAAGGACAGCCAAGGCGACCTGTGGAGAGGCCGTGTGCCAAGGGACTGAGGCCTCCTGTCAAGGCCATGTAATGGAGCCCTCTCAAAAGTGGGTCCTCCAATGCTAGTCAAGGCTCCTAGAGCCCTGAGTGATGTCTAGACAGCAACTTCATGGCAGACCTGAGCTGGAGGCATTCAGAAAAACGGCTCCCAGTCCTCAGAAACTGATAGATAATACATGTTTGCTGTTTTAAGCTGATAAATTTTTGGGTAAATGTCATGCAACAACAGATAACTAATATAGAAAGTACCTGGAAAACAACTCTGAAAGATAACATGATGGCTACAGGGCTAAAATAACAGCAGCTGGGGGATGTAAACTAGCTCAAACTTTCAAGGTACTTTCTTAGATCTTTTTATCTATTTATACCTATTCATCTATAATAATCTTGTGAGATTAAGAACTATTTTAACCCCATGTACAGCTGAAGAAACAAGCAGAGAGGGATTAAATTAACTCTTGCAGATCACACAGTTCTAAGTGGGGAAACTGCAGTTTGAACCTGTGTAGTCTGATCCCACAGCACATGCCATTAACCATTTTGCTGTGATGGCTAACCATGCTTCAGGTGTGATATTAAGTGAAAACCACATATCTATAATGTTATCACAACTCGGTTAAAAACCACTCAAGAGGAAAAATAATTAGCAAAACTGTTAGTGATTATCTTAGAGTCATGGAATAATGGATAGTGTATTCTTATTTACCTTTTCTGGTACTTTTCAAATATTTTACAATGAGAAGTATTATTTTCATAATCATAATAGAAAAAAAGGTAAAAAAAACAGAAGGAAGAAAATAAACCTTCAAAGAGGAAAAAACCCACTGGTAATTTCTGCAGCTCTGGTAGCATTGGATTGCTTAGGAAACTCCTACCCAGAGATGAAACCGCTTCTGGGTAGTTATCTTCTCCAAGGGAAGAGTTAAAGGTGATATTTTTGTGGTGTGAAGAAAACAAGGCTTGGAGAGAGTCCTAGACTTTGATCTAAGCTCTAATACTTATCTTCTGATTTCACCATTGATTTCTGGAGTAATTTACAGATTCTCTTGGATTCAGTGTAAGACTGGCTAACATTTGTTGAGTATTTACCATATGCTAGGCACTTTGCTAAGTCCTTCACATGGGCACTCTCCCTGGAGCCACATGTGCATGCTCTGCAGGAGGTACAATTATCACTGTCTCCATTTATAGCAGAGGACACCTCGCTTAGGGAAGGTAAGGAAGTTGCCCCAGGTCCTGCACTATGAAGTAGTATGTTAATTCTTCCCAGTAGGTCCCACCTTACTTCAAGTACCTAATTTGAAATAAATTATACTGTAACTTTATGGTTCAAGAAATATTATTATGTACACATGTGTAAATTACATATAAGAGACACAGTGAGTTAATGGCTGTGGATAAAATGAGAGTTTCCGTGGCCAGGATTCTCACCTGGCCCTGGTTGTCTAGCTCACTGCACACCTGTGGGCAATACATGGCTTTTGACTCTATATAAAGAGCTCCGACCAGTGCTCTGGGCACAACATGATGGCACGGCTGCAAGGCTGCAGGAGAGCAGAGCAGAGGCTGGAGTGGTGGCAGCGACAAGGACAGAGGCCCAGAGGACGGCTGTGCGGGACGACTGTGCAGAGAGGCCCAGAGGATGGCTGTGCGAACAGAGGGGCCCAGAGGACAGCTGTGCAGACAGAAGGGCCCAGAGGCAGAGATCGCCTTGCTGCCTGCAGACTCGCTCTGAGTCAACAGGATTTTAGTGACTGACCTGCCACCTGGAAATAAAGTTGGGTATAACTGTTTCACCCCAAGAACATTTTGCTGTCGATTTCTTTAGTCACACTGAATCCATAGCGAACTTGCCCAGGGCTGAAACCCATTGGCAAGACAATGGCCAAGTTGTGATTAAAACTAGAAATGCTATATTCTAGTCTTGAAATGATTTCTTGGTACAGTTAGAGTGATCTCACGTAGCCAGCGCCCCTGAGCAGCCAGGGAAAGACAGCCCTGCCTCCTACACCAACATCACTGCCCTAGAAGAACAAGGATTAACTAAGAATTAAGGAGGAGCTTCGTGAGTTCTCGCTGCCAGGGGCTCCCAGGCTACAGGCAGCATGCAGGGCCTACAGGACAGCAAATGACTTCTCAAAGCAGAAGTGTGCTCTCAGGAGGCTTAAACTATCTATCTGCTGAAAACAACACCTGGATCAAAAATGTTTGGGTCCAGGCATCCCCTGACTGCCTTAGGGTTTGTAAACTCATTAAATATTTGTCACCACCTGGAGAGCTAATCCAGATTGTTCCAGCTTTTAGTGTCTCTGGACAAAGAGGGGCATGAAGGAGTGAACTGATTTCTGCTGTGGCTATAATCAAATTTCCTCTAGGAATTTACATTAGGATGTAGATTCCAACCTCTGTATCTTCTTTTCTATTGATACTTTCACTGTAGCACTGAAGAAACTTAAGACAGTCACTTATCTCTGGGATTCAATTAACACACGTACCCTATCCCTATAACCTTGCACAGCTGGAGGAATCGATTATCTAATCGGCCTAAGTTGTTTCTGGTTCTACTACATTTCTTTTATCTCAATGATAATAACTATTGCTTAAATTCTGGATGAGTTTTTATGTACTACTTTGGGTGGACACCTTTAAGTTAAAAGAATTCAAATTTTTAAAAACTTCTAGCTGAACAGTTATCACTCTTATGCTAGGAAGTCAAACTACTGAAATCATAATGGAACTTGAACTGTAGTCCAATACCACAAAATGCGCCAAATTTTAATGAGCTTTCCCTGTAGTTAAAAAAATGAAGCTTGTCTAATCATCTAGTCTACCAGAAGATTACTTTCTTTTCCTTTCCTTTCAGTAGCTATTCGAAGCAATCTAGAGCCATCTCGTATGTACCCAGTCAAGAGGTACAAGCAAAAAATTCCAGTGACCTGGGGGTGGAGGAGCAGAGCTGTGTGGGACACACTCACCAGCCACCGCTCCGGCTAACAGCAGGCTTCCAGGGCTGATCTGCCCATCTTCATTTGCAAGGGAAGCCTTCACATGAGCATAGCAAGGGAAGTAGATGGCCGAGAAAGGAATGTCCCGCAGAAAGCATGCTTTGGCACCCTGTATGTTTGAAAAGGAAGAAAAACCACATGAAACACATATCCCATTGAGAAGATCAAGCTTCTTTGGAACTTACTTCGGAACAAAATATTCCTGGAGAAGACCAAATTTGTGCTCACAAGTTGAAAGGGGAACAGGAAAAAAAAAAACAAAACTCTGCAAGTAACATATCTGAATTTTGTTTTTAAAGATACAGCTGATTTTATTGTGTGGTGTGAGGACAATGGGGCAATTCTCATTTACTCTAACGGTTCAATTAGAACATTTTTGGAACTCTGCCTGCAACACCCTTTTCAATCCCTACTGATAGTTAGGTCACATTGTATTAGGTCACATTGTAAGAAAGGGTTCTAAGAGGATGGGCAGCAACCACCAAGTCTCTTTGTTTATACTCTAGGAAGTAGACAAATTACACAGGTGGCAGGGGAAGGGGTTTGTTTTTCATACTGTTTGAGACTCTGATGAAAGTGTTGGACTCCTTCCCAGAAAAAAATTATACATACGTAAAAAATTACATACCTTTGGCAAGGGGTTCATGGATCCCCTAATTTATTCTGATATATACCCTGACCACCCCAGGGTTTATGAAACATTGACAAATGCCTGTGCTAAAGCTGAAAATATTTACAATAATTCCTACACATTTAAGAGCTGTTTGTAGAACAATCAGCAGCTAGAACAAAGTCTTCACCAAATTATTTCTGGTGCTGAAACAATGCTGTGGGGAGGCCCTGAGAATTGATGTGTACCCAGAAATATGATACAACATTCTAATGAAAACAAAAGAGAAATATTGCATTTTAGGCTGGCTAAATGGGAAGGAAGTCACCCTTTTTAACACTTAATGATTTAGTACCACTCTTCTAGCAGATTTCTAATACCTAAAACTTTCCACCGAATACAGAGATCCTTCAAAGAAAATAATGAATCCATCCAGATTCAACAGATCTAGCTGAACCCAGTGACATTTACCCAAGGTCTAGTGATGTTGGATCTTGGGCATTTTTGCCTGATCCTAGGCTCCAATTTGTCAAAGCTTCTGAACACTACACATCTGTGACCACAGGCTTTGCTTATCTGACACCCACGTGTTACTCTTGACTCAAACTGAGCTGGTGGGTAATAATACCCCTTAGTCTTTTTCATATGAACTGCCATTAACCTAGCTCTACAATAACTTACTGGCCGCCTTAAACAAGGAACATAAGCAGTACTTTTGTGTTTCAGTCTATTAAATGTCATCCTAGTTTGGCCCATCCTTCCAATCAGAACAAATGCTTGGACTCTGGATTCTGTCATGTTGACTATTCCTATGTCAGCCCGCCCACAGATGTTTAAGATGCCTTTGTCCATTTTGTACAGATATCCAAAAAGAAGATAGAGCCACATCCATTCTGCTAGTTAGCCCACACTTCTGTGCCCTTTCTCCCCCAAAACTGTTAAATGCCTAACTGAAAAGAACCACAAGCCCACCATATGAGAATTCCTCATTTTATCTATGTGCGAACTGATGCCCAGCACAGTCAGTCAATCAACTGCACATTTATTAATGACCACTGGTTGGCTTGCTCAGGGTACCCCCGTGAAGGCAGTGCCAAAAACAGGTCCAAAGCTCAGGATACCCCAGCCCTTTCCCCTCCCCCAGCTTTTCAAGGGGGAAAAACCACAGCACAGTCCCAATAGCCTTGTGTAGCATCCAATCCTTTCCTTAGGATTAGTTTTTTTTTTTTTTAATTGTAATCCAGGTAGTTACTGTGTAAAGGCTAACACTGTCACCATTTGTTTCTCTATTTTCACTTCCTTTTCCTTTTCCTTATTTTGCCTCCAAACCCCTCTATTCTGCTACTTGCCCATATGCCTAGAAGATAGTCAAATTACATGCCAAAAAACTTACCCAGACTAAGATCAGTTAAATCTTCTTCCCTCCTGGCTCCCTCAGTATAGTAATAAACATTGCTGTATTACTGACTTGCTGAAACAAATCACTTTGGAGTCATTCTTTTAGGCCGATTCAATTCCTTTTCCCACAAATCTTGTTCTTTACTAAATCTATTAGTTTTTACTTTTAATCTCACCTCCCACATCTTTGTATCTTAGAACCATACTTCAGTCTGTATGCTCTGCTCATTTTTTTTGCTAGTAATATTTTCCCTACAGAATGTTTTTCCCCGATTATAAAATATTAAGTGTTTATCACAGATAATACAGAAAAATATTAAAAGTTTAAATTGCTCTTAATTTTCCCCAGCCAGAAATAACCACTGCAACTGCCGTATGTGTTTGGAGCATTTCCTTCAGCAGGAATACTGACAATTATTTCACCGTTGGGACCATGCTTCTCTGGGTCTGAGATGTGCCTTTGCCTCTCCTTAAATTCATGGTGTGTGGTTTTGTGGCGTTTCTGTGGGGGCTGGAGAGGGAGGCACAGTATGGTCTAATGTCTCTGTCAACCCTCAGCCATACTGCCTATATTTCCTTTCTATTTGTTTCGAACACTCTACAGCCACCTGTGGTCTTGGCTCTCCAGTGGGTTAGGCCTGGTATTCTCACCTTTCTCAGAGCTTTGTAATGACATCACTTTCCCATTTTTCCTCCCCTTGGTCGGCCTGATTCCTCTCAGGTACAGCTACTCAATGCTCTATTCATCTGGTCAATCAAGATACACCTATCACTCTGCATCTTCTTTGATGATCGCTAAGCTAGGAACGTCAACTTCTTAAATACCACCTCATTCATTTAACCCCAAATACCACTCTTTTCACCGAGGATCCTTTAACTGTAAGACAGACAGGGAGTGAATTCTACACGGCTCCACATTGTCTACACTTTCTCAATGCGGTTCTGAGTTTTCTTCATGCTCTTACACTGGCATATGTAGATGCTGCCTATTTCAAAGGTAAGTAATCAGGGGCCAGGAAGTACAGTCTGATTTAACTTAGAAAACAGTCAGCAAAATCTCTGGCTGTCCCTTGGGGCCTAATACATGTTCCTGAAGGCACTGATTTGGCTTTGCCAACTCTTACAGAAAAAAAACACAACTGAAAGAGAAATGAGAGGCTTTGGGGGATATTGTCATTTCTGCAAGGAAACTCATTCCTTGGAAAAATGTATTAGAAACCAAAACCAAGCTTTTAGTTTTTCAAAGAAATAAACGTAATTTGCTGGGGATACAACAGAGCTTAGGAGGATGTAGTTGATAGTTTTGTAAATAAGGAGAGAACCACAACAATTACTCCTATGTAGCTTCAATAAGATCAGAAGGCCTTGGGAAGACATTATCTGAAATTAGAAACACCCTGGGCCACCAGAGGAGGAGGAAGGCCATGCGGAGCAGCTGCTGGGTTTTCCTGAGGAGCGCCCCCTCCTTTCCTGAAATTGTGACCATAAATCATGTCTCACTGTGAGAACAAGCGCCCTGTAAGGGGGTGATATGCTTTCAGAGATGTGAAAACAGCTCCAGGTGACTGAGGAGAAAAATGGCTTTACCAAAATACAAATAAAAAAGAACAAATCTAAGGAAAATGCAGAAGTTCACTGTGAAACACTAAAGGAAATGTGGTTAGGAATATGTTGCATTTTTCCTACCGGGGATTAGACAGTGTGGTCAAATAATTTATGTACACTACAGCAAATGTTAGACTAGGTAAGCGATTCTTAGGTTTCTGAATCCTTGAGGAAAAAAGGAAGGAAGGAAATCAAGGAAGAAAGATAACTTGTGGAACAGCCTCAGCAAGGAAACCATTTGAAAACTCAAATTTCCACTGACTGAGGTATGACAGACCTCTGGTACAACCCTCCCCTCTGTGGTTGGGTAGCAGTGTGATAAGCAATGGGAGACAGCGACTGAATCTTCCTTGTCTCTCAAAAATGCCAAAACAAAGGTTGCCTTCTTAGGGGTGGGGTGGGGACCAGCACTTTAGGAATAAATATGTAAGAACCGTGAAAGTTCATGTCAAGGGCCAGCTGTGGTACGAATACGACAGATGGTGGTGAGGAGGTCTGTGCCTCCCTCCGTCTCTGGAGCTTGCCCGCTTCCACTGCCCAGCACCCCAGCACCTGCTGAGGCATCTCCCTGCAGCAAATCACTCTCCTAACTCATCCCCACCCCCACCTCTCTTACACCCCAGGCATCAAAGCTCAATTCCTAAGGAAGGCCAACTTTGCAAAAGGTTGGAGAAAAAGACTTATTAAATTTCCCTGGCCTCCTTTCCCCACCACTTCCTTCAGGTCTAAGGCACAAAGGCAGGTGCCAATTTGTAAGGCTGCCCCAGGCAACACCTGACCTCCTGCTCAGCACAATGAAAGGGAAGCAGGATGTGAAAGGGCTTTTCAAGTTCCAACAGTGAGAATGTTTCTCTCCCAGATTCCCTGATAAATCCTTCACTATGTGCTGCACACCCATTCTCCAGTCCTACATCAAAACATAAACCTGTTTGACTTGAATTCTACTTGCCCCACGTACAATTTTTACTAAGTGACCAGCCATTCTAAACAGGCAACTTTATAATGAGGGGAAACATTCCATGCTGCCCAGGAGCCTGCGTCAGCAACACGAAAATAATTACTTTGGCCATTAAAAAATTAATAAATTACAAAGTGTGTGCCACCTAAAATAAATCTTTAAAATGTCCTTGCCCTGAAAGAAAATGCCCACATTTTCCTGCCTTAAGCCTTCTCACTGGTTCCCTGGACCGTCCTGCCCTCACACACTCTCCGGTTGGCCCCCAATTTCTTTTGTGCACACAGTAAAATCACTTGGGGTTGATTTATAAATGCAAAATGCAATCGTCTAATCTCTTACTATTCACTAAACATTCCTTCCCCAAAGAGGGAAATTACTGCTTTTTTTTTCTTCCTTTTTTAATAAAAGGCCCACTGATAACAGGTAGGAACAATAAAAAGCAACTCCGGGGAGACCTGTATGTACATAAACTAGAATCAAAACGTAGATCTAGTTGAATTATTGACTTGGGCTCTATTCTCATCCTGTATCATTCTGA